CACAAAAGAAGATATTTTGAAGATTGCTGGTAATCAAACCGTTGGTGGTTGCCATTGACTTCCATAGTATTTTTTTCCTACTATGGAAGTCAATGGCAGCCGCCAACTGTTTGATTACCAGCAATCTTCAAAATATCTTCTTTTGTGTTCAACATAAGAAAGCAACTCATACAGGTTTGGAACGACATGAGGGTGAGTAAATGATGACAGAATTTTCATTTTTGGGTGAACTATCCCTTTAAGGCTTTTGAATTTTAAACAGTCACTTCTGGCCAAACTACCAATCCATAATAACGCTTCCTCCAGTGAAAAAGTCCATCCCTGTTGTCCTCTCACATGAAAATCCACCAACATTTTTGTTTAGAACTGTTTTGGACTAGTTTTGCTTGTTAACGGTGCTTCATCTGTGCATATTTCTCACCCAATTTAGACAAGATGACCTTTTCACTGGAGAAAGCAATATTATGATTTTAACTGGAAGCAACAGTTAAAAGTTAAAATATCTTGATGGATTTATTGCAAACACAGCTTTTCATTTTACAAGATGTTAACTGATGGAGTGAAGTCATGTGGATTACTTGCGGATTATTGTGATGTTTTTATCAGCTGTTTGGACTCTCATTCTGACTGTCATTCTCACTGCAGAGGATCCATTAGTGAACAAGTAATGTAAAGCTACATTTCTCCAAATCTGTTCAAGTGGAGAAAAAAAACTCCTCTACATCTTGGGTGGTCATTTTTTGGTGAACTCTTCCTTTAAGTAACTGGATACTTCATGAATTGTATCCAAGCATATGTGAACAGATTATGAACTTCAAAAATGAATCACCGCAAAGCATTTTTACACATTAAGACTGCAGTACACTTATTTTGCTTTTTTGCATTTTTTGATAACATGGTGTTGCTGAGGTCAAACTGACCTCAAACAGAACCAGAAATATTACTGTAGTCACATTTCTGCAAAGTACATGTTGACTTGGTAGTAAAATACAGAGTTAAAGCTATAGTGTGTCGGTTAAGTCAGAGCAACATACATATTTGAAGGGAAAATAACAGGTTTAAAATTACTATTATTATTTTTACACCTACAGCATTGGGGTCTCTGGGTCCCACATAAGGAGCATAAAAAGTCAATCTCAGCAGACCATAAACGTTAAGTTACTCAACAAAGAATGCTGCTCACTGAGCTCACATCTTTTGAAAGGTTAAAAGATTGTTTCTTACCTTGAGTTCGTCAGCTTCGATGTATCCACTGTGATCAGCATCATAATTTCTCCAAGCCTGGTGGAAAAATTAATACATTTAACCATTGGAATTGTTACAGAAAGCTGACACTGATCTTCAGAATTTACATTTACATTTTTTAAATGTCTTTAAGTTATTCAACATGCTTTTTTGAAAGAAATCTCTTATGCTCACCGAGGCTGCATTTATTTGATGAAAAATACAGTCGCTAAACACAATAATTTTGTGAACTATTATTACAATTTAACCTAACGGTTTTCTATTTTAAAATGTTGTTTATTCCTGTGATGGCAAAGCTTAATTTTTAGCATCATTACTCCAGTCCTCAGTGTCATATGATCCTTCAGAAATCATTCTAATATGCTGATTTAGTGCTGTAATCACTGTAATTGTATACTTCAAACACATGCAGTGCAGTGGTATTATCTATTCTAGTTTGTTTAAACTGTGAACATTTCAGACTCACCTCCATAAATTCTGCACAGGATTTCAGCTGTTGTCTGAAAAATAGCAAGAAGTTTTCCTCTGTAGGTAGTATTTGAACCAGCTGTGAAAGATGTACAAAGATCAGATCAACAAAATGTATGCACTTTTTGATTAATATAATGAGCATAAATTCTTATGGGAAAGACAAGTTGACTGTCAGCTATGAAGGGATGTCAGTTTATGAGGTGTCAAATGCTGCTGGATCTGAGAATATCTGCTAAGTGATAGCATTTCTGAAATGATGCTCCCAGAGAGCCGCTGACAGCTGCACTGATTGCTGAAAATCCACACGCTTTCACTGCTCTGAATGGGTCTGAATAGCTCACAGTACTTTTTTGGGGTGAAAGCATTTCATAAATGAACAAGCATCTTTGTTCTCTGGTAAAACAACACAACCGTATGAGTTAAACGCATGTCAAAACCTTTTTAATTTTGGAGTCTAAACACTGGGTTTTAGCTTTCTTACCTCAATGATACCTATTTTTCCATCAGCATTTTGCTCATATTTCTCCACAAAGGCCTTCATCTTGTCTGTTAGTTCCTGGGGAAAAAATAATAATTTAATAAACATGCATTCTAAAGAATACATTCTGTAACTCTTAACAAAAAATACAGTTTGTTGCAGACTTCATTGGCTAAAATCAAGCTTCCGGCTGTTACAATCCATTTCTTCTTCCTTCTAAAAGCCATTGATGTGTAAGAACAAATACGCACAGACAGATGGGATGTGCTGCTATCTTCAGCCCTCATTGCACAATGCTGATTGTGTTTTCATACTGCTTTTGATGCAGATGAGAGATCTCATTCCTCAAAAAAATCTGCCCATCTTGGCATAGGACACAGAGCGGTGACTGTGCAAAAATCACTCAAATGTGAAACACCTCAGTTCATTCACGTGATGGGGTAATGGTTTTGATGACAGTTAGGCCCCAGACTCCAGAGTTTTAAATCCTCTAAAATGCAACCCACCAAGTTTTCGAAACTTTCGCCTGTTTACCAAGAGTTATTTGTCTTACTACAGGTTCAGTGAGAATCAATAGCTTGGCTGAGACAAATGAAGGCATATACTCAGACAGTCGCCTCTGAGAGGGCATTGTACTGGTGTAGGGTAGACTTCTAAATTGAGTATACTGGAATAAAATGTTTCCAATGTGCTTTAGCATTAGATACAGATGATGTGGGTCATTAAATAAATTTTTTTTTAAATATGTATTCATTATATTTTGTTGTATGTATGTATGTATGTATGTATGTATATATTATTTATTTGTTGTTATTTTAGCATGTGTGTTTGGCTCAGTGTTATTTTTTAGGATTACAATTTTTTAAAATATGTATTCATTATATTTTGTTGTATGTATGTATGTATGTATGTATGTATGTATGTATGTATGTATATATTATTTATTTGTTGTTATTTTAGCATGTGTGTTTGGCTCAGTGTTATTTTTTAGGATTACTGATAAACTAATGTACTTTGATTTGTTTTAGTTATCTATTTTAGTTTTAGTTACAGTTGTAGTAATGTTGTCATTTTATTAGTTTTTTATTATGTCTATATAATTTTTTTTATTAAGTTTTAGTTTGATTTAATTTGAGTTATTTCAGTACTTCAACACAAAATGGAAATGAAAAAATATATATATATTGAATGTATTTATATATATATATGTACATGTATATGTATATGTATATACTGTATGTGTGGCTGTACATACACATGTAGTTGTTTTTTGGTGTTTGGCATAATGTTATGTTAGAATCATTATTATACTCATACCTTTTGTTCTTTTAATATTTTTAATTGTTTTTAGCTTTATTTTTTTCTTCTGTTTAATACACAGAGGATTCTGTGTGATTGGTTGAAAAGGCAATTGATTAATTGTAGAACCATCCTGAAATCCTTGTTCTCTGTGGCTTCTGTCCAGAAAAGTGATAAATCTATTTAATCCAAATATGCCTGCTTTAGCTGACATAACAGTGAGGGATAAAATCAAAACAATTTAAAGGAACTGAAGAAAAATGAAAATGAAAATTAGTATAGTTTAGGTCGAACTGCCCTCTTTCAGATAATGATTAACGGAGTAAGTTTGCGATTTTAGTTATTAGTAGTAATAAAAAAAGTTTGTCTCACAGATACTAAAATGTGTGAATTAATTTCAATCTACATAAAAACATGTTTTTTTTTAAACTTATTAGTTTCGTACTGAGTAATGTTGTTGATTTGTTCAGTGTTTGTCAGCTTCCAGGATGCATTGCAGCATGAATAAATTATGCAGTTACTGATCTAGGATTATTGTTTTGCTGCTTGCTGACTTTATGCTGATGTTGTTGTTTTTGTCATCTCGTGTTAGCTATTTGATGGGTCTTTTTACTCATTTGATGTTTGTAGATTGTCACCATTATTAGGGTTTGTGTGTTCAGATCCATGAACATCTATGAAAGCATTTTCAGTCTGCCTTCTTCAAAAGTATTAGGCAAACAGACCTGAAGTATGGTGAGCACAGATTTAATCTTGTACATGAAACCTGGACACATGCACTGTTTAGAAGCCTTAAAGTCTGAATAAATTAAATTGCTATATGCAGAGGCCCGTGAGAGACATTTAGGGGGCAGTAAAGCACAGCACAATATCATTAGAGGTGTGAAATGACCCAGTGGCTGCTTTTCCTCAGTGCTGTCACAGTCCATCACCTCCTTTTTATGCCTAATAGGGCTGTAACTCAATGACATGGGAATCTCAATAAAGTACATCCACTGGACACCACCTCAGGAACAACATGGAGGACAAGAAAGTCACTGCTTTACAAAGTCAGATCAGCTGCACACCTTGGATCTTGCCGTTATAACATAAAGATGGTGTGATTGTAGAGGTTTATTATCAGTGCTGGTAACCTGACGGCTACTTGCTTGTGTGAAAGTGTCAAGGTTTACATAGTTAGCTCCTGGTGATTGATACTGTAACTACCAATCTGGTTCAAAAACCTCTTTTATTATAATGGACATTTATAATTAATAGTATATTCTAACAGATTGTTGTTGTAGGCAACATATATTGGTAATATTTTATATTCATATATTTTATTTAATATTTTCTGTGCACATTTTATTGTTTAGTTTAGTTTAGTTATTAAAGAAGGCTTATGCATGTTCTTGTTGTGCCATCAGTCAATCAACATGATCAATTATCAAACAATTATTAGTTGTGGTAGTGGTAGTAGTAGTATATTACTATTATTATTATTTTACTATTTTATTTTATTCATCATATTTTATTTGATCATTGTAGTCAGTAGAGAATGCCTTTGCATGTTCTTGTTATTTCATCAGCCAATCAACATTATCAATATTGATTGATTGATTGATTGCCTCAAAACCTTTCAGTGGTTTCCTTGACCAAACATTTTTAGTCCTTTATTTCCAAGGGTCCTGAACCACCTGAGCAACTGCCATTGAGATGGAAATGCTTTCTATAGGTATTATAATCTGATCCCATAAAGAACAAGCCTTGAGCATGGCACTTACAGTGGGGAAAAAAAGTATTTAGTCAGTCACCAAGTGTGCAAGATCTCCCACTTAAAAATATGAGAGAGGCCTGTAATTTTCATCATAGGTATACCTCAACTATGAGAGACAAAATGAGGGGGAAAAATCCAGAAAATCACATTGTAGGATTTTTAAAGAATTTATTTGCAAATTATGGTGGAAAATAAGTATTTGGTCAATAGTTGCTCAGAGAGAAACGTCCATAAAGTGAGTGTAGTTTATCTGCTAAATGGTTACATACTCTGACCTTCATGATGGAACAACTTAAAACTTCACGTTTGTTATTATGACATTTCATTACAATCATTCAGTAACTAATTATTCAGCATATATTCAGATATTCCCAGCCCTTATGAATGTTGTTTGCTTTGCAATTTCAGCATGTGTATTTTCCAGACAAGAACAATCCATGATTCGTACCAGTAATGAGTTTCATCCAAGGTCATTCCACTACATCAAGTCTGCATGCAGTTCTCTTCAATGAGCCTTTGGTTCTTTCTTCTTTTTTTCAACATACAGCGCATTGCTGTTCTTTATAGATAACAGCATAACGATCAGATTGCAATTACAAAGGACAGTAGAGTTATTGTAAAACAAACACAAATGAGGATTTATTCTCTATGAAGCAAATGAGGGGAGGAGCCAGCAGCAGATGTGCATGGACCCAGATGGGGAGGGAGACAGACTGACTAACATGCTGACTGAGACAAACTGGGACAAAGTCTCTGTCCTCTGTCAGAGCTTTTAACAGGTCTGATACCATGCCACTTCATCATATGATACAGCAAAGGCAGAATTCATCATGTATTTTAAATGCTAGGACACAAATGTGTAATGCCACTAAAATTACATAATATACATATTTCATATTACTGTACATACCACTCTGACAACTTTATGAAATAAGCATATTTTACATAATGTTACTTTTTTTTTGCTTTTTGCTTTAATCTAAATCTTTATGTACTAGAATACATTTTCCACAACTTACTATGCATCATCATATTCTACAAATTTCTCTAAATAAAGAACTTTAAAGGGGTCATATGATGTTGCTAAAAAGAACATTATTTTGTGTATTTGGTGTAATGAAATGTGTTTATGCGGTTTAAGGTAAAAAAAAAAACACTTTTTTCCACATACTGTAAATTATTGTTTCTCCTCTATGCCCCGCCTTTCTGAAACATGTAGATTTTTACAAAGCTCATCGGTCTGAAAAGTGAGGTGTGCTCTGATTGGCCTGCTATCCAGTGCGTTGTGACTGGCCGAATACCTCAAGCGTGTGACAGAAATGTTATGCCCCTTACCATACTGTGATGCCGTGTCCCAGGTGCGACAAGACAAAACCAATAAAACCCATTATAAACTAGGCATTTGTTGCATCCAGTGGGAACATAATTATTGATTATAATTACTTATACTGTCTTTTTACATGTTGCATCGCGCCGCACCGCGTAAACATAAAACCATGTCTGCATTTGTGATCGGAGAAATGACAAACAACAAGCGCTACTCTACACTGCTCAAAACTCGTGTTTCAATCGTCAGTGGCAAATTCTTTAAATATGAAAATGTACTTACAGACTGTGAGTCAGAAAAGCCGGCATTGTAGTCTACTTTCCCAGGATTAGGAAACAGTCCTCCATAAAATGCGCTGCTACTGTTCTGGAACAGTATTGTAAATACAACATAACCACTGATTTCTAGTCGTGTCCTCTTTTGGAAGGCAAAACAAAGTATTTTTGTTTTCGCAACGGAACACACAGCATCTTCACAACTTGGCGGCGGCGGTGGCAGTAACAATAAAGTTACGCCTTTATTCTTTGCGTGAACATTTGGGCGGCGTTATGCAAATCTTCCCACATCGTGATGTAGACATGTGGGGGCATGTTTAAATGAGGCGTTTTAGGAGGGCGTGGACCTGGCTTAACTTTTATAAAGAATATCTCTTTGGGTTTGAGACTTTAGTCTTTGCACCTTTAGGGATTTTATCTATTCACAAACAGCTTGTAACACTCCAAAGAGAAAGGAAAACTTAAAATCGCATCATATGACCCCTTTAATGTGGCAAAGCAGTTCAAAAACACAAACCAGTAAAATGTTTGGGTGTGACCCATATTTACTTATTGACATATCTTCTGAATTAACTAACTAATTAAAACAGGAATTTTGTCCAGGGGCCTGTACCATGATGGTAGATGAACAAATTCAGAGTTGGCTTTGATCCTGAGTTTGTGGAGTGCATGCACATGAATGTGTGACATCATGGCGAACAGCCAATCACAAGATTCAAAACTCTTTTGTTAAAGGTTAAGAGATTAAAGAATATGAGGAATTTAAATGCATTTACACTGAAGCACTTGTCAATGAAAGAGGACAAATAAATGAAATGATCTTGCTCTATTAGTGCAAGCACAAGTGAAACTTATGAAGTTCGTTTATATAGTTGATAATATATAGCAATAAAGACTTGAACATGTAAGGCCACATGTGGCCATTTTTAAAGTGTTACCTATTGATTCTACCACTTATTTTTATTGCATATGATCTGTATATATTAATATTTAAATATCATTTAAAATATATGCTTTATAATAATTGTTAAACCAAAAGTGCTTGTGTGTAATGGATTAATAATAATATCAATTATATTATAATTATATAAATAATATGTAAATTGTAATTATCATTAAAGCCAGACAATTTTGTTGTAATTTTTTAAGGTACTTTATAGTGACCTTTTTTTTTTGCATCAGACATGTCACTTTGCTCACATCTGATTGGTCCAATTTCAGTTTGAGATCTCTTACCCAGAACATAACCTGCCCCGGAGCAGGTTAGCCGTGGATTGTAAGTTACTATGGCAATGAACGCAGCTAAACGCCAAGCCACTTTCATGTTACCTAAAACTAAACTGCAAACTAAACTGAAACGTACCTAGCTAATCCAGCTTCATGGTACAGGCCCCCGTTCTGCCCATACCAGTCTATAGTGCTATAATCAGGTCCCCAGTGCATCTACCAACCAAGAAAACATGAAATAGATTAACCCAATCACTTTGTTTAGGTAAGCCTTTTTCTGCAAGCGTCTGAGAAAACGAGCGCGTCTGATTTCGCTCCCTTGGTGACGTGGCAAAGGGATCCCATTATAATATTACTGCCCCTTAATCTGTAAACTTCCACTCAAGGCACCGTCATTTTGATTTCGCAAGCGACAAGGGTGTACCAGCTCTAATGCCATGGTGAAAATTTGAGCAAAACATGCTAACTGTTCTGTCTTTGGCTGCACAGACGAGCACAGAACACTATTTAGAGTCCCAGCCTCAGAGGAGACAAGAGAGCAGTGGATTTATTGTTTATTTAGGCTACTGTATATTGCTGCTGCCACACAGATCTAAAATAAACAAGGGATTTATTTCCCAGCTGTTTACCTTCACAGACATAACCGACTGTGTTTTTAACGTAAACTTGTGTGTGAATTAGGCCTGTCGCAATAATCAATGTATCAACTTATCGCTCAATATGACCTCAATAATTTTTGGTGATGCAATATATCGCCCATTATATTTACTCAAAAATTAATGTCACCATGTTTTGTACATTCCACTTGCGCCTGTGTCTTTTGCAGCTTCTCGTACATAACGTGGTGTAGTCATGAGTCACTAGTCATGCTAGTTCAAATTTAAAAAATGCTTCTACAAAAAAAGTTTCATCTGCAGATATGGTCTTGTTTAGGGATCTGTGTCTTTGTGCATACGGACATCTGACTGCTAAGTAGTAATTGTGTTTTTCAGCAATAGTGTGCACCCTTAATTTACAGAGAAAAGAAGGTCAGGGGAAAATCTGTAGATGGAAAAATCTCCATACAAGTTCTTTGTGCATTTTTCATTTTTTCTACTTCTTACTTTGCACTTTTTGTTAGAAAATTTATATTTACTGTTTATTTAGGTTTTTTTAAGGTATCTAATATTTTGATACTTAATTTCCATGATCTAAATATTCTTAAAAATTAAAAGTTTGTTCTCATTTGGAAGTGTGTAGGCCTTCTTGCATTATTATGCTGTTACATTATGATTATATATTCAGTGGTATAAAATGGTCTTTAAAATGACAATAATATCGCTTATCGCAATTATTTCTGGGGCAATATATCGCACAACAAAAAGTTGTTATCGTGACAGGCCTAGAGGGAATGAGAACTTAGTTTAGTACTCACATGCTGTGACAGCAGCTTTCTGTCCATGTGCTTCAGATGTGTGCGCTCAGAAAACCTTATATCTGAAGTTTAAACTCAGCGCAATTTCAGCGCAATAAACATGATAATCAGAATCAAAACAGATATTTTTAGCAGATACCAGCTGTAAAGATGCAGCCCTATTCTGGAAACGGTGGTGGGGAGCAGCAGCTCATTTGCATTTAAAGACACAGGCCCAAAAAACAGCTTGTTTCTGCTTCCACTCAAAATAGGCATTTTCAAAATTATATAATAAATGATCTGTGGAGTATTTTGAGCTGAAACTTCACAGACACATTCTGGGGACACCAGAGACTTATATTACATATTGTAAAAAGGGGCATAATATGTCACCTTTAAACAAAATGTGTGTGTGTGTCTATATTTATAACTTAATTTTACATTTGAAGAGAATTTTTAAACCTGTGCAAAATGCTTTAAAAAAAAAAAAGATTTGACAATTTTGTCATTTTCTCTGAAATGATTTTTTTCTTGGTCCCCAATAATTGATACTGACAGCTTTATTTATTTATGACAGCTTTATTTAGTTATACTACTATTATTATTATTATATTGTGTTATCAACATAATACCTTCTTGGGATGTGTCCCATAAATTCCAGCCTGATTGCAGAAGATTGAAGAAAACTGTGTGACTTACCAGTCCTGCTTGTTTTCGAGCTTGTTGAAGTTCTCTGATAAAATTCTGCAACTCCTTCCCCTCGATATATCCATTACCTGAGAGCATTTACACCCCAAGTCAATGACACAACACAGTTTCAATTCAGATGAGATGTGTCTGCCAAAAAGTATATTTTAAAACCATCTGAAATGACTAACAATCTATATATTTTTTGTCAAATTTTGATATCCTCAAAGGTTAATAAAAGTCTGTTAGGTAAGGTAAATCAGACAAATAATTTTAACTAAACGTTTGGAAACCAGTTGCAAAGCAGGTGGCAAGAGTAATCCCAATATTTTTTTTCTTCCCCAAAAATGTTTTTTTTTTAATCCATGAAATCCACAAAATAAGGAAAGAAATTACCATCGCTGTCATAATGATGGAATATATCCAGGAATTGAGATGCTGAGATCTCTACTCCTTGCAGGTACGCGTTTGCCATGTTTTCTCCGTGTGTCAGGCGCTGATGCTGTGAGACCGATGCTGTGAGAATGGCACTGTGATGTCTCCAGTATTTAAGTGAAGTTCCGCCCTCCCCTCAGATGATGGCAAGCGCCCAGCGCACCTCTGTCTCCGCACACCGCAGGTAGCGCGCGGCGCTCTGGTTTCTTAGCCTACTGCTGAGCTACACAGATGCGAGATGCATTTAAATCAGGACTTCTTTCTGCTCGTATGTCACAGACTCCAACAGAGCCCACTGACACTAAAACTCAAAATAGGAACTGTGGAACAAAAAATGCCGTTTCACAACTTGACGTGCATGAAGTGCGCTTTATGGAAACAGTGACCGTGCGCTCATAATCAGGGGTGGATCTACCGGGGTGGCACGGGGTGGCAACTGCCACCCTAAGAAAAAGCTGTGCCACCCCAGAATGATCAAAGAATAAACATAATTTGTTTTTGTTTTTTGGCTTCATTAACAAATGGCTCTTATGAACCGGATCTTTTTGAGTCAAAACCACAAAGCGCGGCGCAGTTGACTAACAGATTGTTTTGACATTTGTTCGTGAATCAGATAATTACTGCGTTTCAGGCAACTCAGAAGTCCTCTGAGGAATCTAATCCCGTCCGGATATGTCTGAGATTTATCGCGTAATTGTTTGGTGATCCGATCATGAATATAAGCCGTAACATTAACAATAACATGAAATCAATAAGAAGATGCCGATCACGGAAACTGATAGCAGGTAAGAAGGTAAGAATCTAGTCGTATTGCAGTTTTCTCGATTGTTAATATAACTGATTTTAGTTGCCACTTTTTTCCCCAAACCATTAATTCAGTTTTCAAAACAAAGACACATTTCTCAAAAAGTTAAACAATGAGTAAATTAAACATTAGGTAGCAAAACTGATGCCACACCAATCATAATCTCTGCATGCTAACAATGGAGAGAGGAGAGAGCCAATCATCTACAGGGGATTTATACTTACACATAGGCTACAATATAGCCTAGGCCTAATTACAGTACTGTACCAGTACATTAGATAATGGAAATTTCACTATTCTATATGTAGGCCTACAGTAAACTGTATCGCACGTTGTACACCTTCAAGCGTGTGACTGTCAAATTTTATTTGTAACCATTTGTTATGTGTACTGCATTTTTGCAGAACTGAGAAATGACTGCCTAGAGATATAGCTAGTCTTGTGTCAGGAGACCAAGAAACTGCTATAGTACTGTATACTGTAATTAAATTTGGCCAAATGTGCAGAGAATGCTAAATTAACTTTTTTTATTAGATTTTTTACTGTACTGTATTGTGGTGAATGCCAAGTTCATACAATTATTTGGCATTTGAACTTTTCTAGTGCTTTTCATCTACTGCAAGATTACTTTACAGTAGTAAAATGAAAAATTGCTGAATTATACATCTGTTACTTAAGTTATGTACTGTAAAAGACATTGAGATGCAAAAATAATTCCTGAATCCTAGTAAGAGTTTTTTGTTACAGTTTATTGATCTTTATTGAAAGTCATCTGTGTATTTGAATTGTAAGCATTTACCGTTTTTTTTCAACTGCGTGCACACAAAATCTTTACTTGTCACACAATTTCTGAAAGCTGACACTCAAACACCAGAACCACACACACCAAATCTGCAAACCATACACTAATTCTCAGCCTTTGACTCATTCATAAAACACTTTTTGCAAAACACAACACACAATTCTCTATGTAACACACAAACATTTTACAGGAATTAATAATATTATGGCAAAAGTGTTTGCAAATGTTTGCTTTTGAGATGTGTTTGTGATATTTTGAATGCAGTGCTTCATTTTGCAAGAGATGTGAGGCATTTTGCATTTTGTGTGTGCAATTCTTGGATTTGTGTGTAAACTTTTGAAAAAAAGAAGCAAAGTTTTGAAAATGTGTGTAAGCAGTTGAAAAAAAATAACCTGTAAGAAAAACTGTAATAACTAGATTGAAAAGTTTGAAAGACAAATTTATGCTGGCTTGTCTTAAAGTCTTGTTTAAAAAACGTAAATGGTTTGGTCAGTTAGATGTTCTAGATGTTTGCTAAAGTGTTGCTAGGATATTCTGGGTGGTTGCTAGGCTCTTGCTATGCAGTTGCTGGGGTGTTGCTAGAGTATATGGTTGATAAGAGTTTGTTCTGGGTGATTACAAACATTCCCACCTCTCTTAATAACAGAAAATCAAACTTTGTTTTCAAAACTGATCCAGTTTCAGTGCTTTGATATTATTGTATTTCTTTCTAATGTTAGGAAATTCAAAAGTTTTTGTTGCTCTTAAACTTGCACTAAACATGATTATACCATCTAAGTAGCCTATGTAATTTATACAATATTTGTGAACACAACTGTGTATATCAGACCATAAATCCCCAAACACTATGCATGGGTGCTTGCTTTGGTGTTGCCACCCCTCATAGACCCCATGCCCCCCCTTTGCCACCCTAAAAATTATTTTCTAGATCCGCCCCTGCTCATAATGAATATGTGCGGATTATTCGCTTACTTGCTTCGACTTCTTTTGGGCAGGAGGTCTTTAGTAAAGTAGGGCTATTTTTTTAAACCAAAAATATAGTTTCAATAAGGTTTCCTATATTAGCCAAGTCAGCCAGCGCGCATATAGGCTACATGTTGCAAAATTACTTTCGCCATCGAAATAACAATTTCTATTACAATAATTGTCGTGCGCTACTACGATAAAGCATGACAAGTACTGTCGTTATTTATAGATTTGCACATCACAAATATTTTCCTAAAAGGTTTTGTGGTTTATCAAAAAAGACTTTTAGGTAAATTATAACTAACTGTGCTAGTGATACCCTACCAAATAATTTGTTTTCTGAGGCCTGCCTGAAGTTTCCTTCGTATTTTCGTGTAATAATCTAGAAAATGTTTAACAGTGCTTGGCATTTATTTTATTTTTTTTAAAGTTTCCCCTTAAAGTCATAAAAGTAGTCTATTATTCTCATACTAATCCTTGCATCTAGTTGGACATTTATGTGCAGTTTGGTCCCTATGACTTGCAAATGGATTCCAAAAATCAAGATGCAAAAGGAAAAGTAAACTTACCTACAGGTAGGTGGAAAATTGAGTCTAGATTTTTAGTTTACTGATTTAGCTTGGACGGCCTTGGAGGTTTGGTTTAGTGAGTTTAATGTCCATCTTTTTTATTTTTTTGTTTGTGGTTTTAATGGTGACAGAGCTTTACTTTGGATATATATGGAGTACATTTTTTGTTCAGAATCAAAAGTAAACTTGCAATATGATTGCAGTTCTCAGACACATGGCTTTGTATTATACGGAAAGCACTACTGATAGCTTGGCCTTCACAATTAAGAGACATCTTCATCCAGGAGGATACACTTTTTTGTATGCTGTATGTATTTTTTTTTATGAATCGATCCTAGTGCTTAACTTATGGAATAAATTTTCCTCTTGGCTCTACGGACATCATTCCCTGGATCAGTTATCTTGTTAGTTTTCTCTTATTTTCAGAACATGAATTCATAAAAATTAGCAATGACCCATGAGATAATTGCTCTCCATATGTTAATTAATGAGGCTCTCCCCAGTCAAATGATGGCTGGGACTCTAGTCCTCTGTCATGGCATCCTGCCTGGCAGGTAGGCAAGCAGACAGACAGAGAGATGGACAGTTCACCACACACAGCCACCCTCATGCAATTATTAACTTCGCTGCTAGTCTGGCAGAGTGAGTGAAATTATCTTAAATTAGACTACATGACGCTGATGGTGCTTCCAGATGTTATCACAACTCAACATTGGTGTTTCTTAGCACTCACTGAGAGAGAGGCATGACAATGTGGCATATGTTTGTGGTGTTGGTCACTATCTGCTCTATTGACACACAGATGGGTTGGCTGACAGTTGTAGTGTGAACCGAGGCCATTATGAAACACTCCTGCAGAGTATTGTTGTGAGGAGCTTACATCACACCTTAGCAAGTAAACAGTGGCACCTGCACATGTTATCAACTCATCTACACCTCAGATGCTGAGATACACACCATATGAGACCTGCAATCATAGTTAGATTAATTGTAAACTGATTTCAAAAGTTCAGCTTCTCTATATTTTGTTAATCTGGCCAATATGCTTGGTGTAAAATCAATAGAGAATGGAAACCTGACGTCACAGCACGATGCATTGTGGGATTTTAGTACATGGGAGCTACAGTAGAGACTTAGTAATAAATGTAGACATTTTTTATTATTTTATGTTTATATTATTCATAGATTGAATAATCTTAATCACATAGATTGTGTTGGAATGGTTAACACTTAGTGTTTTATCAATTACCATAGCTCTTCTCACGACCGGCATGGAAAATGCATGCATTTTTCCACTCGAGAAAGCTGTAAAAAGCACATGTATTCCAAGTTGGCAACACTGGGTGGGCACATCTGTGTAACTCAGCGGCAGATTTGAATCCGGGTTGGAAGAAAGTATTTCCACATATGAGGGTTTTGTAAAAGACACTCTGTGGTTGTTTCTAATTTATTTGTACACTTGTGCCGTATAGCTGTTGTATATAAGCACTATATCAGCACAGCTGTGATTTGGCCGTAGGCACAAGGCCACATTGCTGATATAGATCTATATCATAATCCTGCTTGTGTGATATTGCCCATATAATAACTTGAATAATGATAATACAAATAATACAAATAATATTGCTGCTCTTTTTTAACCCAAAGGAAGGCTTTTTAACACAGCTGTATATTTTTGTGGTCTGCATAACTTTTTATAATTAATGTAGCACATCTTGAAAACTCTCTTCATAAAAAGATGCCTCAGTGTGTGTTATTCATGGAAGAACAGTTTATCCATTAAGCAGATCACTGTTGAGCAACCAGTGGGAAATGGGAACCATTTTGGTTATTATTTTTTTGTTTGTCTTGATCACTCATACGCCTATTTTAAATGATCTCTTACTTGCAAAGTTTTTTCATAATAGAAATGTCTTACAAAATTATTGTGATATGATAACTAATTACATTCACATTTTCCAATAATTTGTATCTCACTCAGCCATTTACAAAGTAATTCAAATTTGCTCCCAAGTTAATTGTCAGCTATTTTTAGGATGTTTGATTGCACCCAGTCTCAGCCTGGACTTGCAACATAAAGAAAGTACTTTTTGTCCCTCAGATCCTGAAGATGCAGCAAATAGCCCAATAGCCTCAGCTTAGGTCTATCAGCAACCACACAGACATTTTGTCCTGGGTATTTTGGAACACCTTCTAACCGTGGTGGCGTTTGGGGAGGAAGTAGAATGTCTGGATTTCTCTGATTATTCCACAATAAGCAGTCTCGTCCTTGCTAATGTGTGAGCTTAAATGGTCGAAGTTCAGCCTTATGTTCAGTAAGAGATTTAACAGTCTGAAAAGAGTTTTAAGATCCGCCTTTCTAGCAGAACTTTCAAAGACCCAAAGACTGTTCAGAAGGGACCAGTATTTCATGCTGACTCCAAAAAACAGAAATGCGAATGTCTGCATTTAAACGAATTTGGGCCTGGCGAACTTTTGTTTTCTCTACTTGACATTCAAAGAAAATCAAAGAAGGTTATGCCCGCAACACCAACACAGTCAAAACTCCTGATTAAGTAAAAATCAATTTTATTGATATGAATACTCATTATAAGATGGTGCTAATTAGAGGAATGACTTTTTGACCCTCAGAGTTACATCTTAGAGGAGCAAAAATGAAAGTTTCTGTCAGTAAATGAGTAATTCAAAATATTTTGTCTCAAGCTGGTATTTTTACTGAGACATGAATAAAGCAACACCTGCATATTAACCACTCATCTACAGTTTAAATATTGAGATACCATATAATATAAATGAGATTTGCTGTTTTATTGGAAATTGATTTAAAACGTTCAAGTCCATCAGTGTTTAACATGATTACCAATGCTTCCTCTCAAAAGTCTATCCAAACAGATAATGCACTGATTTATCATTTCATTCTGATAATTTGAACATTAGTCTAATATTTAGATTTTGATTAATTTCTTATTAACATCAGGAATCTGTCCAAATAGATGTATAATAGTATGAATAAACTGATCAGTTACTTCTAATTAGTTTTATTATTATTATTATTAGTTGTTTGTTCATGAAGCATTGAAAATGATCAATCTATGTCCATATGCTCATGATAATGGAAAACTCAATGGTGCAATAACAAATGGGGATAATAATGGTATTTATGTAAAAATGCTAAATACGCAAGTCGCAAACACCTATGAAAACATTTGGATTGGATACTGGAATGGATCATTTACTCACACTCATGTGTTTAACAAACCTGTATGACTTTCTTCTGTAGAACACATACACAAAAAATATGTATTGTTAATTAATGTTTTGGACCCCAATGACTTTCATTTTATGGTCAAAAAATAGTGGAAAAATTCTTCAAAATATCATCTTTTGTTTTCTGCTGCATTAAAAAAAATATATATATATTTTATATATAGGTATAGGTGTAGTTACTGCATCTAGCAGCAGGGGTTAACTGTTGACGCTATAACCAGCTAAATATTGTTACATGGGGTGTAATACATTTGATGATCTTGTCACATATACAAAATTTATCACCACTAGCTATTTTTTGCAGTGCCTTTTTAAAAATATGCAGAAAAACAGATCATGTCCTGGCAGAAAATTACCAGTACCTTTTCCGTTATTGCATTATACAGCATACAGACATTTTCTTCAAGTCTGGCCTTCCTGTAGCAAAAGCAATAAAGCATGGCTAACAACACCAAGATTTTGGGTTTCATTTCCAGGAAAAGCAAGAACTGATTGAAAAAAAGGTGTACTTCGAATAAAATTTAAGTCATTTTGGATAAAATGGATAAAAGCATAGATGTAAATGTAAACCTTAAAACACAACAATTTTTAAGCTGTCAAATGTTTTAAAACTCATCTCATCATTTCAAGGGAGATTTATTTACAATGTAAATAAAAGGTACAGTGAGGTCTGACATCCTAGTCTGAGTTATATTAAAAATTGTCTTTGATCTTTCAAGCTGTTTAATGCCACTCAGCGGGTGTTGCATGCATCAGTCCAAAAGAAGTTAAATAAAAAGCGCACATTCATAAAAAAAAAGTGTCTCGCACGGCTCCGGGGGGTGAACAAAGGCCTCCTGTAGCGAATCGATGCGTTTTTGTAAGAAAAATATCCATATTAAAACGTAATAATCATTTTTAATATAACTACGACTAGATTCGTCTGAAAGTCATATACACCTAGAATGACTTGAGGGTGAGTAATTTATGGGCTACTTTTCATTTTTGGGCGAACTAGCCCTTTAATATTTGTAGTATACATTCACATGACTTCCACAGTGCCCTTAATTCAACTGGTTTGATTGAACCTACATGGCATTTGAGTTGATGCAGTTGCTGTTGTTGATGGTGTCCACTTGGTGAGAGCGAGCGATGAAGGTTACGAGCACATTCTGGAGCATCTCAGCTCTCATCTTGCTGATCTGCAGCACCTCCTCGTGATTCACTTTCTCCTCGCGGCTGTAGTCCAGAGAAACCTTATTGGTGATGAGCGAGAGACCCAGGACCCGCAGTCCGCAATGCTTGGCTACCGTCACCTCAGGAACCGTGCTCATGCCTGAGAGGACAGCAGGAGGAAAAGAGAAAGAGAGAAAGATTCTTAATTAAATGGCAGTCATCTCTGTTATGGCACAGTAGGTGATTCATTAATAAAGCAGACCGGGTCTGGGTCTCACGTAATACTTAATGAGGACTATTGGGGTCTTGTTGGATACACAGGAAGAAGGACTCACACAGCAACTGAAATGGGCCAGTCACTGACCAGTCTAGCCAGGGGAGCCCACTTAGCACATGTGGTGTTGACGTTTGGTAATCGAAGACCAGTGTTGGGGAAAGTTACTTTTAAAAGTAATGCATTACAATATTGCGTTACGCGATAAAAAAGTAACTAATTACGTTACTTAGTTACTTTTTATGAAAAGTAATGCGTTACGTTACTTTTGCGGTACTTTCACATTACTTTTTAAATATGAGCAGGGCTTGATTGTTTTTAATATAAGAGGTTCTATTTATAGCAAATGTAAAAGTCCTTTCACACCAAAAAGTGTAATGAATAAACCTCAGGCTGAAGGAAAAGTAAATTCCCGTCTGTATAGTAGAACGCAGGAGAAGAAGGTTCAACACTCTTCAGCAATAAAAAAAACAATGAAGCACAATTGTTAGTTTATCTAAAGTCATTTTTGCTTATTAGTATGGTTGAACTGGATCATCAAAGGTCAGCAGCAAAGACATTGGTTAATAAAATGGGATTAGATACATTTGTGAGACATCATTCAGCTCATCAGAGGACCTGCAGTGAGTATAGTTTATGCCAATCATATGGTCAAGAGAGTTATTCAGATCACTGATTAACCTAATCACATTGATTGAAGTGGGCTACTTTGGCCCTTTAGATGGGCCTAATCTCCATTAGTTAACATTGCAGGTCCCCTCTGCTAATATGGCACATCATTATTAACCAGCTATAATTTTCATGAAAGACCAATTAAAGGAGAGGCACTACACAGATAAGAAAACAGCAAGTTAAACTCTCCAAGTCCTCAGAGAGAGGACATCTGATGCAGCAATGAGGAACTCGCTATACACTGCTCTTATTTATTTATTGTATATACTACTACTATACTATAGAATTTATTCATTTTGAATTAGCTAGTTTTTATATTTTCAGTTTTAGTTTCTGTGATCTTTTTTGTTGTGATTTTGTCATTTTATTACTTAATTTCTTTCTTTATTTACTTATTTCAGTTATTGCATTATTAGGCACATTATCTTTTTTTTTTCATCTATATATGTATATATATATATATATATTTTGTTTTTTTTGTTATCTTAATGGTCCTATATAATATAATATAATATCTTTTTAAAACTTTTTTGTTATTATACTTTTTATTTGAGATAATTACGATGAATTACATACTTACAGTATCTCTAATTACTGTAGAGAAAAATAAAATGAACAGATCATGTCCACAAATTAACAGATGAATGAACAAGTCTTTAGTTTAAAATAAAAAAAACTACAAATGAACTTGCATAGCAAAAGTGGTGCAGCACAAGCCATTTCAAATTCACAGCCTTCAGCTAATGCAGAGAAAGATTCCTCTCCTTTCTTTGTCTTTATTAACCTCAGTTTCCAGTCCCGGGCCTCTGCGCTCAGAGCCTGTGGGAGACCTAGACATCCATCCCAGATCTCCCCAGAGCGAGAATGTGCTGGACCTGATCGATTCTGACTTACAGCTCTATAGATCAGACCTGCTTTTGGCTCCCCTATGCAGCACCTCTACCTAAACACACCATCAACACTGTCTCGCTCACAGCATATACCGTCTCCATGAACATACAGTGTGTTGCAAAAGCACCCAAACTGTCTGAGGATTTAGTTTTATTGTGGAAGTACAGTGTCGTATTTTTCTGGCTTTGTTCGAAATGCTGAGATGCAATTCATCATCAAGGACTATTTGAATTAGCTAGTTTTTATATTTTCAGTTTTAGTTTCTGTGATCTTTTTTGTTGTGATTTTGTCATTTTATTACTTAATTTCTTTCTTTATTTACTTATTTCAGTTATTGCATTATTAGGCACATTATCTTTTTTTTTCATCTATATATGTATATATATATATATATTTTGTTTTTTTTGTTTTTCACCTTTATTTCAGTCACCGAAAATGCTTAGTAAAATGTTAGTTTAGATAACAAAAACAACAGCATCACACTGCAGTGGAAGTGGTTCAGTGTATTTATTTCAGTCTATTGTATCCAGTCAAGTCATCAAATTAAAACTAAACAATCCTGTTCAAGTAATATTAAAACTGGCTAAATTAGCATGTCCATAAGCACCTTTAGTTATTGTCTAGTTGGGTCAGAGTTACAGTAGTAATCTTTATGTAGAATGAGTTCCCATACTTGTTTTTGTTTTTAATATAAAAAGTAAAGGTAAAATTTGCAAATCTTTTCCAGCGGATGTTTAATAAGAGCAGAATCTCTCTCTCCTTTTTTAAAACTATTTCACTAAATTGACTAAATTTACCTTAAAGTAGTCATGCAAGAACAGGACTTTTCAGCACAATGTAATCTGAATATGAAAATGTATGAAGAGTATGAATTCACTTTTTTTTTTTCATGTGACCACATGGATGTACAGTGCACTTGGGCTTGTTTCGATATTTCTGAAAGAAAATCAGTTTCAAAGCACTAACAAAAAGTCATACCAAAGGACAAAATGGTCATATCATTTTGATAATTTGTTAAACTGTTGATTACTCATGAGGATTAATCAGATAAAAGACTAACTTTTTAACTGTGTTTGAAGATTTTCATATTATGCTCTTTTACAATGTCTTGATTTTGTTTTGGGGGTGTACTAGAACATGCTCTCATGCTTGGTGGTTTGAAAAATGCATTATTTTTCACATAATTTACATTATTAAAATACCTTTCTCCCCAGCCTGGCACAAACGGCTTGATTAGTTCCGGCTTTGATGAAGGTCCGCCTTCCGAAAAACAAAATGTGTTGTGATTGGTTAGCTGTCCCAGTGCGTTGTGATTGGCGAACAGCTTAGACGGGGTTTCAGTACTGCCACGCCCCTTGCTCCGTCTTTCAACAAAAGCTTTTTGGCGAATCCGGCACTACTCACTCGTGTTTTGGAAGCTGTCCTCAGTAAAATACGCAACACACAATAGCAAATTGGGGTTATAATGCTCAGGAACGGAGTTAAAAAATAAATTGCAACCACTGTTTCCTGACATCATCCGCTTTCGGAAGCCCAAACAAAGACGTTTGGGCACGGAGGTGAAAAAAACAGCCTTTCAGGCGGTCGCGAAGCACAGCGTCGCGTCGCGCCACATCTTTAAAATTCAAATACATTATTTTCTATGAGTGTAGGCACACCGGCGGTGCCGTTCGGCATCTGTCCGCGGCACCCAGCTACGTCGTGTTGTACTTGTAAGAATTGTTCTAGACATGCCGAAAATTTGACGCTACAGCACAGCAGCTCTTCTTCTTCGTTTTCTCTGATGCACTAACGCTGCAGCAGCACTACTTCTTCTTCGTCGTCTCTCGGATGCACTCACTCAACCAAGCGTTCTAACCACAACCTCGCCCCTCCCCACCCCCCAACCATTAAAATTTCTGTAGACGGGAATTATTTGTAATGATATTCTAATGGGCCGCTTTGTGATATCACAAAGCCCAGAAAACAAACGCTGTAGTCCAAACGAGCCGTTCGTTGTAGTTCTTGAAAAGGGATTTTTAAAAAACGAAATATCTCCCTTTGGAGTGGACTTTTTTATGCCCAAACATACACACTACACACTGACTAAAATTTAAAAAGTGAAAAAGCATAATAGGACCCCTTTAAGTGGACATATGCTTTTGACAGCTTGGGATGTGCTCTTTCCTGCAACATCTCTGTAGCCTCTAATTTTTTCATATGTGTTTTTGCCATTGTGTACTGTGATTGTCCATACCAACAGAGTCGCTCCCCAAGATGTGCAGCATGCGTGCCTCAGCGATGGTCTCAAAGTTTGGTCCACTAACCATACAGTAGACACCCTCACGCACAAAATTGGAGTAGCCCAGCTCAGCAGTGATGTCCAAAACAAGTTTCCTCAGGTCTTTGCTGTATGCGTCAGACATGCAAGGAAACCGGATCCCAAATCTGAGGAAGAGATTGAAGAAAATTCACCATCTTTTCCATAAAATGGAAAACAGTACCGTAAAATATTATCCAATACCGCCTCCCACTCTTTCACACTTTATTCTGCCGTTTTCTCTCCCTTATCTGCATACCGTTCATCATTGGGTCCACATAGAGGGTGCTGTCCAGCAAACCCTGGCAAGTTAATATGGTCTTTAATGACCATGATGTCTCCCACTTTGAAATCCTGACAGAGACCTCCAGAGGCATTTGTCACAGCAATGGTCTCCACACCCATCAGTTTGAAGATCCGCACGGGGAACGTGACCTGGAAAAATTCCCACAGAAAATACAAGCTGTTACTCACAGCACAGAACCTCTCTGACTAAACCATCAAATATGTCATTTTCACTTTTAAATTATTAAATTAATGATTCTTAATAAGCCATTGCCTCTCAGGTTCAGACATATTTAATGGAATATATGGAAGACAAAGATGTAAAAATAGCATGTGCGGTTTTTGCATTTTCTCAAAACTACAGAAATAAAGCAAAACAAATATAACAAAACAGGAGACCAACACAGGGCCATTTCTATGCACAGGCGAACTAGGCTGTCGCCTGGGGCATCACCATCTGGAGGGGGCGCCAACGGACGTCCAAAAGCCCTGTTAAAGGGGTCATATGATACTGCTAAAAAGAACATTATTTTGTGTATTTGGTGTAATGAAATGTGTTTAAGGTTCAAAAAACACATTATTTTCCACATACTGTACATTATTTTTTCTCCTCTATGCCCCGCCTTTCTGAAACGCGTCGACTTTTACAAAGCTCATCGGTCTGAAAAAGCGAGGTGTGCTCTGATTGGCCAGCTATCCAGTGCGTTGTGATTGGCCAAAATGTTACGTCCCTTTCCATATTGTGATGCCTGCGGCAACCACATGTGATGACCCCGGGCTGGACTCCGCTTCGTCCACGGTGAAAGCCGATCCGACGATCGACAGTGCGAAGTTGAAGTATTTCCTCAGCGACCAACACGGATCAGCTCTAGGCATGACGAAGCGGATATCGTCCTCTTTTGGAAGGTCAAACAAAGTAGTTTCACTTTCACAACGAAGCACACAGCGCCTTCACGACATGGTGGCGGCGGCAACAATACTACAGCGAGAATAAAAGTTACGCCTTCTTTCTTTGCGTGAACATTTGGGCGGCGTTATGCAAATCTTCCCACATAGTGACGTAGACATGTGGGGGCGTGTTATAACGAGCCATTTAGGTAGGTGTGGCTGACTTAACTTTTATAAAGAATATCTCTTTGGATTTGAGACTTTAGTCTTTGCAATTTTACAGATCTTCTTTATGCACCAAGAGCTTGTAACACTCCAAAGAGAAAGGGAAAATTTTAATCACATCATATGACCCCTTTAAAGGGTTAGTTAACCCAGAATTAAAATTTTGTCATCATTTGCTCATTCTCAAGTTGTTCCAAACCTGTATGAGATTCTTTGTTCTGTTGGCACAAAAGATATTTTGAAAAGTTTTGTCCAGGAATATTTTGAATAATCGTGTCATTATTCATTAATATACTGGAAATATTATTAAAATGTAGATTTCGTTCACATAATGAATGAATGAATGTGGGTGTGTTTTATAAATTATTAAATATATTCATTTAATTGACTTAAATTTATTTATTTAATGCCAGTAGGGATCTCAATTAGGGTGCCAAAATGGTCTTAAATGGCCCTGGACCAACATTTATTTATATATTTAGACAGTTTGCAATTCAATTATTATTTTTTTAATCAAATTTTTATTTGACTGGAAAGGGACCTCCTTTCATTTCAGAAGACCATGTGGATATGACAACATGCACAAGCCTAAATGTGCAATGGTATTCCACGGTGTCTCACAGTTTTAGGCAGATATTAAATAAGCTTTAGTGATTCTAAATGGGATAAATATAGGATTGTAAACCAGGGAGCCATTAAGGGAGGTGTCAGTGCAGGCAGGAGATGAATAATGAACTTGCGGGCTCAGTAGAGCACAGCTCAATAGGGATGTCACAGTCTGTCAGCCTGCTCGAGCAACACACCCATTACAGCTATACACAGATGGGTCACCGAGGTGAACTGGCATTCTCAGGAAATACGCCCCAATTTGATACCCTCTAAATCAAGGCTGACTTCTTTGCAGAACTCTCAGAGATCAGATCACTTCAGTCTTTAACTCTCCTGAGAGAATTGGTCTAGGTGTTGCATTATAGGTCTATAGATGGTCCGTTGATTACCTGTCACCAGCAGCTTGATAAATGTGCGCTATTATGGAGTAATGAAAATATGTCTATAAGACAATTTTGTATGTCTTGGCACTGTATCATGAATTGGCATATATTTCAATTTCATATAGACAAGAAGGAAGGAATTCACTAAGAATGAATTGCTCTCACTGATTGCATCTGTAGTCTTTTAGCAATAGATTCATTAAATGATGCAAACTAGATATGAGAAAATTACAGAAGATCTATTATGCCTGATTTCTGCAAGCAATGTTAATTGTGCCAAAATAGTGCATAAATAAGTTGCAATCCCGTAAATATAATAATCCTGCATAGAATAGAGGCATGTTTGTGCTAAAATGAATTTAATTTAAATACTCATTGCACATTAATCGTCTGTTTAAACTGAACAGGGTTTAGTGAACAATAAGCAAGAATATTTTGAAATTGTACATTATTAAATAAATAAATATGCACATTGTGTACACATTAAATATTGATGTGAGTTGAAATTATTTTATTTTTTACCTGTATAATTAAAATTGCACTGCATTTTTAGAACGAGACGCTGCAAAAGACATGAGACACGATTGTGATGTTAAAATGTGTGTCTATCTAGCCCGTTTACATAGAAAAACAATGCAAAAGCAGCAGAGTGGAATGCAAAAATGCATTTTGTGTGAACGTCCCCTTTACAGTTTAAACAAGCCTTCTAAATGCATCTGAACACCATAACGCTGCTTTACTTGCTGCAGAGAAACAGAGGTCATTGAAAGGGCTAACCAAGCTCGACTGTCCAATTACCCTCCACAGCACATCTCTCCATAACAAAGAGATCACTTAAGCAAGCCATAATAACTGTTTGTGTTACCAAGGGCAAACGTGAAAGCAAGTTAAACTGTAAATGAGGGCACGGGGAGTTGGCACAGATTTGCACAGTGACTCACAGATATGAGTCAGCTAAAGGGAAATGAACAGTGGACTGAAGGTGCATTTACAAACCAGCTGTCACAGTTTGACTAAGGATTGAATAACCAGATTGGCAGAGCTCCTGCTTATTATATGAGGAACTTCAAAATTTCAGCTTTTGTGATCCCCCCACAAAAAAACTCATTTTTGAGTACAAAAAAAACATCCGTCCCCAATTGTCAGTCAATGTCCCAATTTGCATACTTATATTAGGCACTAACTGATCTGTTTACAACTAATTGATACTTTTGAGGAAGACAATACTTGTAGTAGCATCAGTGTTGTTATAGTTAGCTAAACCAAAATTACGAAAATCATTTTCAGCAATTGAAATAAAGATGAAATAAAATTTAATTAAATATAAATATTATATGAAAATTTGAAATGTTTCCTTGGCAACTAACTACAATAATTAAGTACTAAAATTCCTAACAATAAATACATAAATCTTAATAAATAAAAATGACAAAACCTTAATATATTGCGTCTTCCTAAGGGATTATTCATCTAATGCATAACCTCTCTGTAATGAGCAAATAAAGGGTCAGATGTTGCCATTGATAACAGAAGCCATCTAATCCTTTTCTATAATGTCACGTTAACTGACTAATGACTGATCCCAAGTCTCAGAGATCCTGCTGGCTTGGCTGTATTTCAAAGTTCATCGATTTGCATTTGCATGTTCACTTTGCTCATTCAACATCAGAAAAGTTGATATCTGCTGCTTAGGGATGACTGCTGATGTGATCAAGGATGATGGCATTAGTGTGACTGATTGTGTATCATTAGTGTTCGAACAAATGGAGCAAACATTGTTTTCTAAAATGATGAGCAAATAGGAGGCTGCAGTTTTTTTGTGGCTTCAGGAAGTTACTTTGACATGGGAACAAGCCGACTGAGCCAAGTGAATTGGAGCTTATGTAAATATAACCTTGAATTTTGGCTGATGAGATGTGTTTGGCCCTAAAACCTGCAGCGTAATGAGGTTCTGCTGGAATAATAGCTCTGTTTTTCCAGGGGCCGATTCCTCTTTTCTTGCACGAGCATTGACGAATGACTCTGAGAGAAAAAAAACTCACTCAGAGAGGTAGGTTATTACACTCACCGTGAAATGTATTTCCTGCAACATTGTAAAAATGAATGAGCAAATGAACGTTTCAGTGCATGCCGCCTGGTCAGATTGTCATGCAATTTAGCAAAAAGAAAAAAAAAAGAAAAAGGAGTGTAATGAGAAAAGTTCTGAGAGAAATTTAGGGTTGCTTAAAATCTTCTTAAGATCTTCTTAGGGTTGCTTAAGATCTATCTATCTATCTATCTATCTGTCTGTCTATCTAATATATTATATATAATTATATACAAAAATGATATGCACTTTAAATAATATTATTAACCGTGTATACATATTAATATTATAACTGTATAATCACGTTAAAATGCATCTTTTTTTTAACCTGTAGCAGTTACTCATAAGTATATTGTCTATTTTGTACATCTTTAAACTGTCTTAAACTGTCACTACATGATTGAATTTGTTGATAAACCACAGTCCCAAGAATGTAACACTTTTTACATCTATCTGTATGGTGTGGTGACACTAAAGTGATTTGATTTTGATTTGACACTTGGTGATTTATATGACTGATGCAATGGGCAATGTGAAGAATTTATTATTTAAAAAATGAGCACAGAGCATCCATAGTTCTCATTATTCAACCTGTCAGTCATTCCTCTGTTGGTCTCCATAAACCAGCAAATTTCAATTATGAAGTGGATTAGAGAAAGAATGACAACACAAATGGATTCTAAGACCCTTATTATACTTTCCCTTAATTACAAGTGCTCTTATTCTTCAGCCATCATTCAAGTACACACACACCTGCTACAGGTAGTGCAAATATCATGTGATGCATCTGAACGCTTCTCAGATTATTCACCTCGCCATATAAATTTTTAAACCTGTCCAAGATATCATAGTATGAACTCCCTGTGGCAGATATTAGGGGCTATTTTTGCTCCAGTCATGATATTTTATTCATAGGCAGTAGTTATTCATTTTGTAGCTCATATTACCAGGAGCTGGACATAATTTGTTAACCATACAATACAATGAGGGACAGAATGAAAACCTCTGTGCTTTTAGATTCGCTCCCTGCATTAGCAACAACTCCTGTATCTGTGTAGTGGCTGTTTTATAGACTCAACATGCTGACTGAAATGACCACACTGTGTAAATTAACAAAAAACATCCACCAACTCAATCCTTTGCTTTATTTCTGCATATACCAAATAATATGTTATGTTACAAAAACATAATGCTTCTGTAGCTTGTTTCTTAAGAAAGAAAGAAAGAGAGAAAGAAAGAAAGAAAGATAATTGGTGTAAACTGTTCCTTCAGTTTGGCTCTGATACATTTCCATGAATCCGTTACCTGTGCTCACTGGGAAATTGGGAATGTCCTCATAGCGGAAGGTCTGTTTATTTGAGACACTGTCTGCGAGAAGTCCCAGTCCAGAGCCGCACACGATAGCTATCTTTGGCCTGTGTCTCGTCCTGCTCAGCAGCCATTCTGTAGTCAGTTTGCAGTCATCAAAGGAACAGCAGCTGAGTCAGGAGAAAGAAAAAAAGAATGATGGCCAGATACATTAGAACAGGTCACATTGATAACTGCTCAAATTATGTCAGATAAGATGCTAAGTGGCAATATACAATCTTCTGATTATTAGTCAGTGTTTACAATGAGAAACATGACAATCTTTCAATTTGCAAATTCACCATCACAATAAATTCAAAGCATCAAGATAATAATTAACTGGTTTATTTTTAAATGTTAAAACAAAAATAATATATTCATATTGTATTCATATTATATTTAATTTGTGCAATGCCAGATCATTTGAAAACATTAATACATTTTTTGTTGTTGTTTTTAGAATAAATATATAAATATTAATTAGAACAAAATAAAAATATAATTTTACATTAAATGCATTGAATACTATTAAGATCTTGTGAATTAAGTTTGTTTCATGCTCCTTAAGCATATATTTATTTTCCATAAGCATAAATCTGACAAAATTGAATTGAGGTTTATGTTTCTTTAAGTATAATAAAAATAAGAATTTAAATAATTGATTTTTATTAAACTGGAAAAGAAAAATACAGATTAATAATAATAATTATTATTATTATTTTATCAAAAAATAGGAATAGGTTCTGTGATCAGATATCAGTACACAATACAGAAATACAGAACAGACCTTCACATTAATATAAGAACAATCGAGCTCTACTTTGACAGCTCACGTCACAACAACTGCACTGTAGAAGACATCATTTTTATTATGTCTCAAGATTTCGGGAGTCAGTTATGAAAATCTAATGCCATATAAATCACACAGGAAATTAACTAATATGAATGAAACCACAGAGACTCTCTTGATATTTGAAAATGGGCTGGTAGCAAAAATCGGAAAGTATAAACCTGACATAATGTGGTTGGATAGATAACGCTGAATAGGTAAAACCTTAGAAGACAGTGAAAATGCAAATAGTGGACACATTCAGAGTTTCTGAATGGAGTTTTGAAGAGTCCAAAATGCAAATTTACAGCATGCAGTTTTCAAGGCTCCATTTAATTTGCATCTCATTTAAAGATAATTCTGCTCCATGTAGTGACTCAGCTGTGTTTGGTAGGCCTGATATATTTTTATTGACCTTTACAGATTTGATTAAATGCATAAGAGATCACACTCTACAACAGCTGTGAATTAAAATTACATTATCTACTGACTCTTTTAGCCAAATACATTTTCATCTATAAAGTTTTTAATCATAATTGCTTTATACATGGTCTGATATGTAAATTATATAAATGACATAAAACTAAAATTTACCATGAGTTTTCCTTGGTGTGCATGATCTCAGTCACAGGTAGTCACAGGCTGACAGCACCTGGAAAATGTGTGTACTTGTCCTATATTATATATAATTATATACAAAAATGATATGCACTTTAAATAATATTATTAACCGTGTATACATATTAATATTATAACTGTATAATCACGTTAAAATGAAAAAAAACTTTTTTTTAACCTGTAGCAGTTACTCATAAGTATATTGTCTATTTTGTACATCTTTAAACTGTCTTAAACTGTCACTACATGATTGAATTTGTTGATAAACCACAGTCCCAAGAATGTAACACTTTTTACATCTATCTGTATGGTGTGGTGACACTAAAGTGATTTGATTTTGATTTGACACTTGGTGATTTATATGACTGATGCAATGGGCAATGTGAAGAATTTATTATTTAAAAAATGAGCACAGAGCATCCATAGTTCTCATTATTCAACCTGTCAGTCATTCCTCTGTTGGTCTCCATAAACCAGCAAATTTCAATTATGAAGTGGATTAGAGAAAGAATGACAACACAAATGGATTCTAAGACCCTTATTATACTTTCCCTTAATTACAAGTGCTCTTATTCTTCAGCCATCATTCAAGTACACACACACCTGCTACAGGTAGTGCAAATATCATGTGATGCATCTGAACGCTTCTCAGATTATTCACCTCGCCATATAAATTTTTAAACCTGTCCAAGATATCATAGTATGAACTCCCTGTGGCAGATATTAGGGGCTATTTTTGCTCCAGTCATGATATTTTATTCATAGGCAGTAGTTATTAATTTTATAGCTCACATTAGCAGTAGCTGGGCATAATTTGTTAACCATAAAATACAATGAGGGACAGAATGAAAACCTCTGTGCTTTTAGATTCGCTCCCTGCATTAGCAACAACTCCTGTATCTGTGTAGTGGCTGTTTTATAGACTCAACATGCTGACTGAAATGACCACACTGTGTAAATTAACAAAAAACATCCACCAACTCAATCCTTTGCTTTATTTCTGCATATACCAAATAATATGTTATGTTACAAAAACATAATGCTTCTGTAGCTTGTTTCTTAAGAAAGAAAGAAAGAAAGAGAGAAAGAAAGAAAGATAGATAATTGGTGTAAACTGTTCCTTCAGTTTGGCTCTGATACATTTCCATGAATCCGTTACCTGTGCTCACTGGGAAATTGGGAATGTCCTCATAGCGGAAGGTCTGTTTATTTGAGACACTGTCTGCGAGAAGTCCCAGTCCAGAGCCGCACACGATAGCTATCTTTGGCCTGTGTCTCGTCCTGCTCAGCAGCCATTCTGTAGTCAGTTTGCAGTCATCAAAGGAACAGCAGCTGAGTCAGGAGAAAGAAAAAAAGAATGATGGCCAGATACATTAGAACAGGTCACATTGATAACTGCTCAAATTATGTCAGATAAGATGCTAAGTGGCAATATACAATCTTCTGATTATTAGTCAGTGTTTACAATGAGAAACATGACAATCTTTCAATTTGCAAATTCACCATCACAATAAATTCAAAGCATCAAGATAATAATTAACTGGTTTATTTTTAAATGTTAAAACAAAAATAATATATTCATATTGTATTCATATTATATTTAATTTGTGCAATGCCAGATCATTTGAAAACATTAATACATTTTTTGTTGTTGTTTTTAGAATAAATATATAAATATTAATTAGAACAAAATAAAAATATAATTTTACATTAAATGCATTGAATACTATTAAGATCTTGTGAATTAAGTTTGTTTCATGCTCCTTAAGCATATATTTATTTTCCATAAGCATAAATCTGACAAAATTGAATTGAGGTTTATGTTTCTTTAAGTATAATAAAAATAAGAATTTAAATAATTGATTTTTATTAAACTGGAAAAGAAAAATACAGATTAATAATAATAATAATTATTATTATTTTATCAAAAAATAGGAATAGGTTCTGTGATCAGATATCAGTACACAATACAGAAATACAGAACAGACCTTCACATTAATATAAGAACAATCGAGCTCTACTTTGACAGCTCACGTCACAACAACTGCACTGTAGAAGACATCATTTTTATTATGTCTCAAGATTTCGGGAGTCAGTTATGAAAATCTAATGCCATATAAATCACACAGGAAATTAACTAATATGAATGAAACCACAGAGACTCTCTTGATATTTGAAAATGGGCTGGTAGCAAAAATCGGAAAGTATAAACCTGACATAATGTGGTTGGATAGATAACGCTGAATAGGTAAAACCTTAGAAGACAGTGAAAATGCAAATAGTGGACACATTCAGAGTTTCTGAATGGAGTTTTGAAGAGTCCAAAATGCAAATTTACAGCATGCAGTTTTCAAGGCTCCATTTAATTTGCATCTCATTTAAAGATAATTCTGCTCCATGTAGTGACTCAGCTGTGTTTGGTAGGCCTGATATATTTTTATTGACCTTTACAGATTTGATTAAATGCATAAGAGATCACACTCTACAACAGCTGTGAATTAAAATTACATTATCTACTGACTCTTTTAGCCAAATACATTTTCATCTATAAAGTTTTTAATCATAATTGCTTTATACATGGTCTGATATGTAAATTATATAAATGACATAAAACTAAAATTTACCATGAGTTTTCCTTGGTGTGCATGATCTCAGTCACAGGTAGTCACAGGCTGACAGCACCTGGAAAATGTGTGTACTTGTCCTATCAGAACAGATAAGAGAGAGAGACAGAATAACCTCTCAAAGGACTTTAAGGTCTTGACTCATTGGCTGCATAGTGGGAAATCTCCATATCCTTTCCAAGAAATTATATGACTCTGTCCCCTGATCAACTTTATCTTCAGACACACACACACACACACACACACAAGAAATAAGAACAAATTTCCAGTAAATTATCATTTTTGGGTGAACTTTCAGACTCTTGAAATATCCTAAAATAGATAATACATTTTTGCTAAATCAATAGAATAGAAATTATATGACTCTGTCCCCTGATCAACTTTATCTTCAGACACACACACACACACACACACAAGAAATAAGAACAAATTCCCAGTAAATTATAATTTTTGGGTGAACTTTCAGACTCTTGAAATATCCTAAAATAGATAATACATTTTTGCTAAATCAATAGAATTAGATTATCCATTTTAAATCAATAGAATATAATTTTCCCAATGAATTGTCTGAAACCATTTGTCAAATATTTTGCTTTGTAGAAGCTGTACAATGACCTTAGCTTGAAAAAATAATGAAAACACATGGTCTACCCACACCAGTCAATAAGAAGGGGCAGAGTGACTTATACTATGGTAAATAGAAAACACTTTTACATGTTTGTGCACTTTGCTGAGCTGTGAGATTACTGAATACATAATAGCTTAGAGCTTCAGGGTCCATTATAATTCTCCAAAGCCTTTATACTGTGGCTTGGAAAAGGATTGGCAGACTCGGTATTGGAGCGTTGTGACTCGAAATCTAAATACCCTGATGCATTTACAGCAGTGTCTGAGACATCATTTCTACACAGAGATATTGAGCTGATAACTTACTGTAATACAGAAAATAACCTAATCTGAACATTATATCAGAAACCACAATTAAGCAAAATACCTAAATAATACCAAAAAAAAAAATACCCAAAAAATTACTAAATAATTACTGTTTTTGTAAATGTATTTACAGATTTTGTTGATTGAAACAAGCTCAGTATCAGGGCTCTTTTTTTTGTGCCAGGGGTCCAAGGTAGTTCCTGTCAATGAGTAACATACCCACATGTTATTATGTAACAGTTATATGATGTCCACATCACACAAAGCATAGACTGACCAACAGGGACAGAAAAGTGATTACTCATTCATTCTACTTCACTGACTTAAGATGGTTCAAAGATTATTTTGCTCTTTGTCAAGCATATTTCCAGCTGAAAACAAACATGGGGATACACAGCTCATGATTAACCAAAAGAAAACTGAACAGATCTGTGTGAGTGTACCATACACACATACACTAACTATTAACATAACTGTTAATAGTTCACATTGCCCATTGCATCAGTCATATAAATCACCAAGTGTCAAATCAAAATCAAATCACTTTAGTGTCACCACACCATACAGATAGATGTAAAAAGTGTTAAATTCTTGGGACTGTGGTCTATCAACAAATTCTATCATGTAGTGACAATTTAAGACAGTTTAAAGATAGACTATATACTTATGAGTAACTGCTACAGGTAAAAAAAGGATGCATTTTAACGTGATTATACAGTTATAATATTAATATGTTACACAGTTAATAATATTATTTAAAGTGCATATAATTTTTGTATATAATTATATGTATATTATAATTATATATAATATATTAGACACAGACAGAGAGAGAGATAGATAGATAGATAGATAGATAGATAGATAGATAGATAGATAGTTAGATCTAAAGCAACCCTAAGATCTTCTTAAGAAGATTTTAAGCAACCCTAAATTTCTCTCTGAACTTTTCTCATTACGCTCCTTTTTTTTTCTTTTTTTTTTTGCTAAATTGCATGACAATCTGACCAGGCGGCATGCACTGAAATGTTCATTTGCTCATTCATTTTTACAATGTTATTAACATAAGGCCAACTCACAATCAAGTGTAATGTCAGTACATGTAAATAGCTCATTGATTCCACAAAAATGTTAAGCAGCACTTTTTTCAACCTTGATGATAATAATAAGATATGTTTCTTTAGCACCAAATCAGCATGTTAAAATTATTTCTTAAGGATTATGTGACACTGATGATTGGAATAATAATAGCAACTTTTCATCTTACAATTCAGAATTGTGAGATATACACTCATAATTATGAGTTTCTAACAAAAAACAAATGTCATAATTGTGTGATACAACGTTGAAATTACTTTTATTTCATGGTGGAAAAAGACAACTGTTAGATGTAAACTCAGAATTAAGAGAAAAAAAGCAGAATTGCAAGATGTAAACTCAGAATCCAAAAGAAAAAAAGTCAAATCTGTAACATGTAAACTAGATCACTAAACATCA